ATTAAAAAGTAAAAATGGTAAGAATTCTTATTCAGATTACCATTCATTTTTACCTTTTTATTCTGCTAAACGCTATCCAAGTATGTATTTTTTAAATTTGTATTCTCTTGAATTTATTTTCACATCTATAGTAAATAAAAGTGTGATTTTAAAAAAATAAATATTAAAACAGCAAAGTAAATTTAAAAGAAGAAGAATATTAAATACAATTGTTTGAAAAAAGTTTAATATTTATTTATTCAAATATTCCAGGGTGTGTGTGTCCAGTTAAAACATCTAAATAAAGTAAAACAAAAATTAGATATATTTAAACATTTAATTTAATAATTTTTTAAAGCAAAATCTATAGCGAGCCTCCTTTGAAAAATAATTATTTACTATTTATTTTGGAGGGTCATTATTATTAATAAAATATAAATAAACAAATTAAGAATTTAAGTTGAATTTATTTTCACATCTATAGTAAATAAAAGCGTAACTTTAAAAAAAAAAAAAAAAAAAAAAAAAAAACATTACACAACAAAATAAATCTAAAAGAAGAATATTAAATACAATTATTTGATAAAATTTACTTATTCAAATGTGTGTGTGTGTGTGTGTTTGTGTTCCTGGCTACAAAATAAATATACAGACTGGATGCAATGGACAAAATCTGCAGGCAAAATAAAAAATAATCTGCAGGTAAAATAATTTTCAAATCATCAGTGATGTATTTTAAAAATTGCGGGCTTAGCGGAAAACGTCGTATTAGTTCTCAAACTGATCACACGGTGATGGTTGCGGGCCTTTCAATTGTAAACAAAGATGCAAAGTAGATTAGCGAGTGTGTGAGAAAACTAATATTTTTGCTATTTTGCTTAATATAACTACTCATTCAAAATAGCAATTAAATTAATTTACAGAGAAATGTTTACTAATGTAATGTTTAAAAGTAAAACTTTATTTACTTAAAAAAAATCCAAATTCCCCTTCAAAATAAATGGTAAATAATTATTTTTCAGTGAAGTAAGGCTTGCTATATTTTTTGATTGAAAAAAATGATTAAATTAAACATGTTTAAATATATCTTAATTTAAGTTTATTAACTTTTTTACTAATAATAATATGAAAAAAAGGTTAATGAACTTTTATCTAAGTTTGATTAGTTTGAAAACAAAATTGATAGAGTATTTATGTTAGTATTTAAATTGAAAAATAAAATGTCTTTTTGAATAAAAATATGGCAATGCTCAGCTCCCTAAGACCTCTACGTGTAGTTTGGTATTTTCCTAAATTTAGTTATTTTGTAACAAACCAAAAAAAAAAAAAAAAAAAAAACAATGAATTTTATTTTTTAAAGATTAAATAAAAAATTATTTTCCATAAGATAGCTGAAAAATATCAATAAATTGTTAATAATAAACTATTATTCATAGATCTTCCAAGTAACACCGGGTATCCCTGCTAGTGAAATCTAGAGGGTAAAAATAAAAATATGAAATATATTGAAGCTGGTATTAAATTATTTGTTATAATGAAATTGGTTCATAGCTAGATTTTTTTTTTTTACCTGTCAAGTGTTAAGCATCTGATTTTTCAATAAAATTTTAATGTCAGAATATCACAAACACAAATTTGTAGGAACAGATTTTGTTATTTAGTAAAAAAAAATATTGTATAAAGAAAGTGCCTGCAAAAAAACTGTCATGAGGATGTTTTTTTTTTCCCTTGACATCGCTATTATTTTAACTACCTTCAACACCTTGGCAATGTTTGTTTTAAAAATCAATACTTAGAATTTTAATAAAACCTAAACATATGAAAGGAAATTTACAACAAAAATTTAAACACTTTATTATATTGTTTATTAGAATGATTGGCAAAACACTGACTAATTGCCAACTGATTCAAACTTTATAAAATGATAAATAAGGATTTCCTTATAGTTGGTACACATATTTTAATAATTTTTATTTAATTACATAATTTACTAAATGCTTATAAATTGATAAATGATAAATATTGCATTAGTTTTAATACAATTGGATGTTTTTAGAATGTAAATATAAAATTATTCTTGTAAATAAACAATCTAATAGTATTTAATATTTTTGTTCTAAATTTTCAAGAACAAAGAAAAATGTATAAATTCAGTTTCATCATATGTTTAGGTTTTAATTGTAATAAAATAGATTAAAAAATAACCTCAGAGTTGAACAAAAATCTTTGTTAGGAAAATATACAGTAATAAACTTTTGACCTTCTATTTTATTGTGTTTAAGAAAAATTTCAACTGTATTCTTTAGCAAACTAAAATTTTAAGAGAAAAGGGATAAAAAAAAAAAAATTCTTGCTTCAGTGAGATGAAAGTGTTTTAGATCAAGAGACCATATTAAAAAATCCTGTACAGAAACAGACATTTTGTTGACAAAGACATCTTTTTTGACTGTTAAGAACAACTGTATTAACATTAGAAAAAAAATCTTCTTTAAATAATACTTCAGTTTGGGCATAAAATTTGTTAAAAGGTAGTCACAGGCTGTACTAAAATCTATCAATATATTTTGCTAACTATTTCATGGTCGTATTTATTGAATTATATTCATAATTAGGGACTTAATATTATCAAATATTGTAGAAATATGAGGTCAAGTCAGAAAAGACTATTCAGAACAAGAAAATTGGAGAAATGTATATTATAATTTAGTCTGAAAGTCATTTTTCTTCACAAGAAAAAATTATCATTTCTATATTTTTTTAAAGTTTTTGATAGCATTAATAGTCTTTTGGCAATAGAAAAAAAAAAGAGATTTTGTCAAAAAATAAAAATGGTAACATTTTTTTTTTTTAGAGCAGTCAATATCAAACCAGTGATAAAGAAAATTCCTAATTTATAATGAAGAAATGTTTGATCCCAATGGTATTAGAAACTGCAATTTTGGGCGCTTTAGGGTAAATTATCTTTTTTTTTTTTGATGACTCATTGATTAACAGATTTAATTTCATTTTGTTGTCTAGACTCACTGAAGATTATTAATGCTGTCAAATGTTTATGATAAAACACTGAAGATTTGAGAAATTAAGAAAAATGGCTTTATTTATAATTTGGATATATTCCAGATTTTACAAGTACATAATGTTATAATCAACAAATTGTTACTGATAAAACTAATGTCAGAAAAGATTGAATGTTTAAAACATTTTTACCATGATGATTATGGAGTTTAATAGTACATCAACTCCTATATAATGGTCATTTTACACAAAACAAATTCTCTTTTAAATTGATTCTTGTCACACTCATTATTAGATGTAGTAACCTATAACCCAGTGACAATCAAACAAAGATTGTATCATTTTTATTTATCTTCAGAAAGGGGGAAAAAAAAAGAATCTCTTCCATTCCATTTTAGACTGATTTTTCCAAATGGTAATTGTATTAAAAAATAAATAAAATTCCACTTCAAAATTTATTTGCTTATGTCCAGCTCAAAATCAGATTTGTCAAAATTTTTTATTTTCTTTCCTTTTAAAGAGATTAAAAGCTGTTTTCAGAACAAAATTTGGTTAGCATTGTTCATTTTTCTGGCAGAAACACAATGAGAAGAATTAAGAGAGAAAGTGCGTTTTTTAAAATTATATTCTGGCTATGTCTTTTTAAAAACTTTCAGCACCATTAATTTTCTCAAGGATTTATACATGGAAATATCACAGATTTTACAACCGCTAGTGAGAAGTGTTCTGATTTAGAATTAAAGGTTTCAAGACACCCATTTGATATTGACCAAAGAGAATGTTGCTTAATTTTTTTGATCAAACATTAAGCTCACTAGAGGACATTACAAAGTTATATAAAACAAATAAAAAAAATAACACAAATTTCCTTCATGCAACAAAAAAAAAATATATAGAAAAATAGCTTCTTGAAAATAATAAACTATAATATCAATATGTTTTCATTATTTATGGAGAAGATGTGTATTAGATTTAAAAGGAATAATAATGCTTGAAGAATTTTCAAAATTTTGTTCTTTCTAACTTTTATAATCCCCAGCCCCTGCTATTAACCATCTTTGCTTTCAATGGCATATCAAAGTTTTTAAGAAAGGCATGCCTAAAATGTGAGCATAGGCAAGAAAAAAAAACCCTGCTAATCAGATCTTTATATATAAGCAGTGCCAATGTATTTGTTGTAAAATTAAAATAAGTATGAAGCTTGGTTATTAATGAAATTCCAACCAGGTCATTTGTCAATATCACTCATTTTTGTTAGTTTTCATATAAATCTCAACATTTTGATCAACATACTCTCCAATTTTCATCTGCTCTTCATTGCAGGATCTGTTACCACTGTGTATTTTTATTTAGTTACATCCAGCAAACCATGCATTGAAGTTCAGATAGAAGTACAATTTTTTTAAAATATAAGATAAATAATTACAGTTCTGTATTAGACAAGTTCAGAATTATTGTATCTTTGGAGAATCTTATGAAAGCTTCAATTCAGGAAAGTTTCCTTGTGCAATACACAACCAATTTATTAGATTTTCAAAACCTAATAACCTGTAATTACCTAATTATTTATGAAAATTATACAAATATACTGAAATTAAAAATGGTAAATAAAAATTAAATTTCTTATTTAGAATTTAATGCAACCAAAGATGAGTGTTAATTTGAACAATTCTTTGAGGTAAGCAGACATGTTGGAAAAATGATTGTTCCCTTATCACAACTTAAGATAATGTCTGTGTGTTTGTGTGTGTATGAAGAATAAGCCATTGTATATGAAATTTATTCTTGTATATAAAACCAACATAAAGTTAATCTATTAAGAGAATAATTTCCATAACAGGTTTACTGTGTGTGCGTGTATTTATATATTTACATACATTATACATTGTTGCATATATTTTCTCATATACATATATATTCACATATGTGCCATTAGGAAATCAATTCTGATGAAATGGCAACTATGTTGAAAGAATTGTTCTGACGGTGGTGTTATTTTTTTTTACTGAAGAATTTCCAGTAGACAAGTCCAGCCAAAGTGCCAAGCTCCACCAGAATAATGGCAATTAAAATCATCTTGTCTGTCATTACCCTGAAAGACAAAATAAAACAATTGAAATGTGATGGTATTCAGAGAGAAGGTGCATACACCCCCCTCTCTCTCTCTCTCTCTCACACACACACACACACACACAAGCATGCTGAAAAATTCTGTCTGACCAAGAAGACTCCCCACTGAAAAAAACGTATCTTTGGTCAGACTTTGGGACGTGAGTTGTGGCAAGAACATTTCATCCCTAGCATTTGTGTAATAAATAAAATTAAATATTCATTTATTTATCTCTACTTTGAGTTTTGTTGAAATTACATCCACTCATCAGGGCCTTCATTGTAAAATTCAATATATTACAGAAAACATTTTTCTTATAAGATCTTACTTAATTTTCCTTAAAAAGATGTTAATTTTTTATGTCAACTTATTTTAAATTTCTTTCTTAAAGATGTAATTGTATGATGTAATCTAATCCATAATTGTTCAATTATATGTATTAGATAATTTTTATATAATCAAAGTATTTCTGTTATGGATCCCTACCATTTATAGTTGGAAGCAAATCTTGTTTCTTAATTTTAGGATACATGAATCCCTAAGATTACATTCACTAACAAGAATCAATGCATCTTGGAGGAGTATAGGAAATGTTACACATAATATAATTGAAAACAATTTACTAATATAAAGATATTCATGCAAAAATCATATTTTCCTTTATATTTAATATAGTTGTACTTATCATATACACAGTATTGGGTAGCATTAAAAAATGGATTCAGTTTATCAAATAAGACAATTTTTTTTTATATTATTTTACCATATTTCAAGCAACTTCATAATTATATCCTCCAGAAAATTTTTTATCTTGCTCAAAGAAAAAAAAAAAAAAAAAGAAGCTGTTCTAGGTACATTGTTTTAGTCTTTCAGGGAATGTTTTTTCATTAAGAATATTCTATAAAAACTGCAATAAATGGTAACCCAAAGGAGCAACATCTTGCAAATAGAACAGATGAATGAAAACTTCCCAAAACAATTTTTACCTTGGTCACCAAAGAAACATGAAGACTAGTATTATTCTGAGAGAATATTATAACCATATTATATCCATGATAGAATATTGTGACCATTCTTAATATCATTAAGTAAAAAATTAAAAAAAAAAACGAAAAAAAAAAACGAAAAAAAAAACACTACATTATTTGCACCTGCCACCAATACTATGCAATGTTCTTGCCTACCTACCGTCTAGCCATTGTTCGCATTATCCTTCGACTTTTGCTGAGGTTTGAATCTGTATCTATCAGCTGAAAAAATGAAACAGAAAAAAAAAATATCATTATATAAAATGCTCCAATTAATGCTACCCTTGCCTAAGCATTTCAATATATTTACACATTTTTTAATATTCTGAAATAAAATCATTGTTATCAGACTTCAAAATTTCTTTGGCAAAAACATCAGCTTCGCTTTCAGTATGTAAAGCAGATTTATCTAATTTATTACATGCATATTTTTCTGTAATTTTTATATTTTAATGAATTTTTTACAAGGAATTTTGAGTGATTATAGCCAGATTACCACCAGGACAGCAGATAGCACCAAACCCGAGTAGCATGAGGCATTCTTGAAGAAAATTTATATAAAAAGTCCTCCATTAACCCTGTTTTTTTTTGTTTTTTTTTAGTATTTTCATATTCAATGTTCTGAAGAAAATGTAAAGAGATGTTCATTCATTTGCTAATCAATATCTTTGTTGGAATTATGTTCATTTTTCATAAAATAAAATTATCTGATGAATGAAATTAATTGAAAATGTTATTAATTATTTTAAAATGTGATCTAAGGAAGCCTAAATGTTGCCAAATTGGATTTCAGCACTTTAAGCACTGGACTTAAAAATTGTTGATGTTATATATCCACTCACACATCCAATTCTGTGCAAGAATTTGCAATAAAATCCAATTAGCCTAATATTTTTAAGGTACATTTCAGACCCAATGAGTTGAAAAAAATATAATTTGTTTTGCTTTGACTCAATTGAACAGTTTCTTAGATGTGTTAACAATACTTACTCTTCCTTTGGTTCTGTCAAGAACATCTCTCTGTCGACTGAGGTCTTCAATGATGTCTGTACCAATTGCATCTGTTTCAGAAGCAATCTGTTGTGATCTGGCAATACTTTCAGATGTCCGAGTCAAAGATTGTATTCCTGACATCAATTTATGTCGGTTTGAGGCTTCAATTCTCTTTGAGACATGAGGAAAAAAGGGGATATAGAATGAATGAAAATTTCGTTGTTAATTGTTAGAAAAGCTCTTTTATAACATTTCCTGGTCAATCTATTTTCAAGGGAAATAACTTGACTTACGCCCCTTAGAAGCAATAGAAAGGCTACTTTCGTAAAGAAACTATCAAAATAAAGTCTTGACATTTTAACAAGATTTATGACATTATTTTTCATTATGCATTTTCAAAGAAAAAAATGTGTACGCTAAAAATGACATCTCATTCATGGCTTATTTGGGGTGGCAGAGAGAAGTGCAAGGCAAGGCAAACTTAATAGTAACTGAGATTTTTGTTCTGCAACAAATGTTACAAATATGCCATCAAAATTGCAAGATTTATCATTGTTCATAAATAATGACAATTATTGTCAGCTGTCACTTTTGTAAAATAGTGTGAGAAAATATGTAGATGAGCCCCAAACCATTTAAACGAACTGCAATTTTGTTATTATTCATTTTGTTTTAGAGATTAAAGCACAATAGTAGTATAAATAAATATTTTATAACATTATCTAATTTCCTCTTTGCTCCACAGCTTCTAAGAGACAGCCTCCCCATTCATAGTGTTTATTTTAGATCTGTGAAGTTGGTTGAAACATTCACAGTAAAATGAATTCAGCCAGAAGAAAAAGTAATTTGAAGGATAAATGAAAAGTGTCTATTATTAATCAAAAATAATTAAGGTTATGAGTTTCAATTTTAACCATTCCCAATTCAATAGCATTGTAATTTTCCTAACTACAGTTGTTCAGTCAATTTTCATATGATCAAAGCTTCACTGGTTCATCGACTCAGTAGCTGATGAAACTGAAACTTGGGATAATTCACTAATAATCTTCAAGCCTCAATCAATCACTTGCCCATGCTCTTCACAAATTTGGCTTGGTTTGTTTCTTGTTTGTTTTCCAGTGTTGTTATTCTACAATTTTATAGGCCCAGGTCCCTCTACTTACCACCATCAGGGCATAACCATGTCTATTATATCGTCAGATAATTCAAGCATCAGTATTGTCAATATTAAATAATATTCATATCTGTACATCCTCACCAGCTTTTAAATAGGTTTTCTAAACTCTACAATAAATGTTTTCTTCCTGACAAGGAGTTCAGTAATCATATTAATCTCTCAAATAATATCCATAATCAACAGGACAAACAAATCTATCAAGTATTATTTTCTGATTCTGCCAACCAACTAACTTTAGGCCTTATCTAAACATAAAATAGTTTCATTTTCCAATTCTTAGTACTCTTCCAAAAATTCTCCCACTTTTCAAATATTAAGGTGATAATTTGGTGATCTGTCCTTACAGTTGTTGCCATGCCTTCCGATGTATCTTCTCTCTGACAGCCTCAGCAGAACTCCCTAAAATGCTGAGGACTCCCATCCAAGTAAATCAGTATACAATAATAATTTTGGATACTTTAGAAAAACAAATTCAGATAAAACGAAAATTAAAATAAATTGAAATTTTAGGAAAAGAAACAAACTTACAAATTCTTTATCATGGACCTGAGCATTAAATTCAGTTTCAGAAGCATTTCTTTTCTAGAAAAAAAAAAACAAAAAACAAAAACACAACAGTTAAATTTTTTTTTAAAATGGTTATTTTCTTGAAAAAGTTAATTTCTTAAAAATATTTGATCATGTATAAAGTCATTTGTTCAAAGAACAGATCTTAATTTTCTTTTTGTTTGTATTTATGCAATTATCCATTTTTGCATAAAATCTTTGAAAGTGGTGTTTATGTTATTACAAGTAAAGTCTGTCAAAACTGACAGAATTATGTATGGAACGAATTTTCTGTCTAGGATCAGTGTATGTGTATATATATATATATATATATGTATGTGTGTGTGTACGTGTGTTATTTTTAATTTATTTTGTTTAAACACTATTTTTTATGTATACTAATATTTGAATAGAAGCTCTGTTTTTAATTAAACAGTATTTTTTATTAAACTTCAGTGTGTGTGTAAAACATATATTTTACACACACACTAAAGTACCCATTTATGATGGGTAAGAGATCAAGACTTATAATGCAAAGGTGAAATTTTCCATGTTTTTTTCTTTTTAGATTTTTTTTTTAAAATCCTTTCTTTCTTTCCCATATTTAAAGAAAACTAAATTTAAATTCAAATATTATAGTAACAAAAATCTATTGTTATATTAGGTACATGTAAAATGTGTGGGATACTTTTCTGAGAGCCAGAAGTTTCTTGAGGTGTATGCAGCATGAGCATTATTGAGAACATCAGTGGGCCTTCCAACAACACAATGACTCAAAATTTGTGTTATGGTTGGTCAAGAAATATTAGCAAAAGAGAAGCAGGAATCTGGTGATGAAGTACAAAAACCAGTTACATGATAACTTGTGATAAGGCTAGGAGTATGAATAATGTTGAACATGCCTTTTGGAATTGATTGTAAATAGTACAGTTTTATTTCCATCTTCCTAATTGTATTGTTTGCTTAATTCTTCTTTCTTTATATGCCAATTTAGGCTAGAAAAAAAAAAAACATTCCTTTAATTAAAATATTTTTTTGAAAATGACACATTTTTCAGAGGTATCAATGATTTGTGGCTCAACTGTATATCACAGATAATTGTGGGTACACTCACTACTTTTTTTTGTATCAAAAACAAATAACTATTATTAGTTCTGTATTTGTATAGATTGATTTTTTTTTTTTTTTTGTAATCCCCTTTGTAAGTACTGACCGGGCTTAGCACTGCTTGAATGGGAACCAATGTTTTCAGCCTGATTTGACTTGAGGCATATTTCATTTCTATAGAAAATCTACAAAAACAGCAAAAGTGTTATTAAGAAAGCAAGAGAGATTTCAGTACCAAGTTTCTAGTAAGGCCTTCAATTTCTTTTCGATAGTTCCTCAATCGATTCATCATCTGCATTCGATAGGTCGGAGGTGCAGCTTTGCTCTCTTGTTCCATTTCTTGTACCTGTAAAAGTCAAATCAAACATCCAATCAAGATTAAATTGATCATAATCCTTTATCCTTCAGCTTCTCTTTGTCAATCTTTACGTTGTAATATACTTATCAATATGATTATCAGTTAAGATAAAGCCAAAATTTAATTTTAAAATGTACATGTTTAAAAACCATGAGTTTTGTTTACAAATATTCTTGGGTTTATTTTTCAATAAATTACATTTTTCTTTGTATCTTTGTTATCCTTTAGTCTCTCTTTAAAAACAGTAATCAAAATTTAATTTTCTGTTCTGTTTTTCAACTTGAATCATGTGTCTGTACAATTTATGGTGAAAGATTATTCTTCATTGTTAAGCAACTGACATCAAGGCATTTGCTGATGAATGAGGTGGCATAATTTGATAAATTATTTATAGGAAGGTTTAATCTGTAGTGCACTTCTTCTGCAAGCCATTTCAATTGCATTTCTATAAGAAACAATATTTTGGAATAATAATCAAAATCATACAAAAGGTGAAGTTTAAATGTTATTTCTGAAGCTCTATAAAAACACACGGTCAACATCTATTTGTAGTACATTCTTTTGCAGATGTATCCTCAGTAGAAGTTGTTTGTTTTGCTGGCTTACCAAGAGAGCTGCTTCTTCCAATTTATTCTCAGCTGATCGAACAGCATTTTTCTTTTCCTCTAGAAAATAAAAACATACACAGATCTATTATTGGATTCACAATAAATGACATTGAATTTATTTCTATACAAAATGACACAGATAATGTGGCTTACAAAGAAAAGCTTCAATGATATTCAATAGCTAACATTGTTAGGAACTTGGTGTAAAGTATACAAAAAAATGTCAGTATTTTGGAGATACTTATACAAGCAAATATCAAAATCCTATTTAATGTGAGTTGTAAATGTTTTGATATTTCTTTAAATATCATGACCATTTCAAATGTGTCATGGATTTATTTGTTCAGTTTTATGTGTACTTCAAAAGTGCTTACATTATAAAATGCCTGCTCATACATTTATGCTAAATACATTGTGTGTTAGAATTTGTTAAGGCTAGTATCTTAATAAAAAATAATGAATATATTGCACTTGCACCTGACATGTCACAATTGAAGGTGGAAAATGGTAGCCATTTCTTTTACTTGACACTTTAAAATAAATTATTTTTCAAGGGAAATTTCAAAGTAACTCAAATTTTTATTGTCTTAAAAATTTATTATTCTACTTACTGCGAACCATTGTTTAATTGAGAAACTTTAAAATTTATTATTCATGAATTTTATTTTAAAAATATTGTAAATATTGTTTGAATATATTGTAACTATTGTTTGTGGATTTTTTTTCCTTAATTAATCAATATTTATTCCTCTAACATGAAATGGAAGTTTTCTGTCAAGGTAAATTTATTACTTATGAATTTTATTAAAAGATAATGTAACTGCAGATTTTTTTTGTACAATTTCTGTCTACCATATATGTTATTTGTATTGTAATAGACTATTAAAATAGCATTTTTTCTTCTTTACTAATCAATATCTGTTCTTTTATGAAATAGCTATTTTTATTTAAAGGCAAATTTGGATTTAGTGTTTTTTTAAGAACAATTCCAGTGAAATGAAACAATTTTAATATAACTCCTTGCTTTAATCTTTTTCAGTATTATGGTGCTTACATTCTCCAAGAGAAGAACCAGTAAAATATTGCATTTTATCATCTTTATAAAACTTTTAAAACAAATGTTAAAAGGCGTATTATTTTAAATTTGTCCCCAAATGCAAATGAAATCATTAAATCAAAATAACATATTAATCAAAAATTAACTTAATATTTAAATGCTCTTTGAGTACAAAAAATTAAAAAATTGAAAACAAAAATTTATTTAGCTTTCTTTCCCAAGTGATTCTTATGTCAACAGCTGATAAAATGATGAAAAGAAAATATTTAAAAAAAATGAAATGTTGTAATGAATCATATCAAATGGAAAAAAATAAGCCCTTCATAAAAATACTGGTCACACGTAAAGAATTATCTAGTCATTTGATAATATAAAATTCAATATAACTAAGCTAAATACACTGTCATGTGATAGCAGTATGTAAAGGTAGGTAGTGCTACCATACTTTGGTGTCATGAAAATGTCTAGAGCAACATCAGCTAGGCTGTTCATGGCAAGCTGACATGAATTATCAGAATTGAAATGAGGCATGATAGTGATTGCCAAATGGATGGCTCTTGGAAGAAAATGGTTTTAAATCAGAGTTGGGTCTATAAATCACAACAATTTATTTTACCAATAATTATAAAATATTCATTTATGAAATTTGTGTTCAAATTTATAGCAAAAAATTAAAAATAAAAGCCATTATTCAAAATTCTTTAATAAAAAATATGCTTGCCTAAATGTTTTTATTCAAAATAAGAACATTTAACATTATGCAAACATTTATTTTGTGGATCTTGAGAATCAAGCATTCATTAAATGTGTGTAAAAGTTTCCAATCTTTTTCTACTGCATATTCAGTTCAGTTTTATGGGTATGTGGATATATGTACACACAAAAATAGTGTAACTGTAAAAAGCTTAAAATATACAAATTATTTAAAGAGAAATATATTGCAATATTTAAATTTTTCCCGTCAAGAAATACATCAGTTAAAAAGGAATAAAATGTAATTTAATTTTACATACAAGATTGCAGTAAAAAAAAAAAAAAATCAGATTAAAAATTTTTATGGCCTTAAATTAATTTTCATTATCATCCCCACCTTGACTTTTGTAATCATAGGTGGGGGATCCTAATGCAGAAGCCACACTAAATCTCCTCCACAACAGTCTATCAATGGCAGCCATACCTGTCCATTATTTGACATTATCCAACCAGTTTTTACTTTAACGTCCTCTTCTATGTCCACCTTCAATGGTGCCTTACATGATGGTATTTAAAATGTCATTTTGTAGTGAAATATTTCATGTCAAATCTATAATACAAATTATACTTATTGACAGAAGTTTATAATTGCAATTTTTTAGCAATTCACTAACAATTATACAAAGCATGGTTTTTATCAAGATTTCTTACATGTTGTCAAAAACACAAATGGAAAGGAAAAATAAGTTAATATGAAGGATATAGTAAAGTTTTTAAAAATTGAACTACTATTAGAAACTTTTAAAAATTTTTCTGTGAAAGGGGAAAATGTAAGACAACAAAATATTTTCTTCTACAAAATATAGGGGAATAAATTTTCTGCAATCATGGAATTGCGGAATCGTTAATCTTAAACAGAATTTGGGTTTTTAATGTAATTTTCAGTAATAAATAACAAAATTATTTAATTGGTTTTTCAGATTTAAAAATTTTTTTTCAAAACTTAATAACCGTCTCTCGATTTTGTTAAACATTTTATAACAATAACGTAACATAGTTATTTCCTTAAAATTTGTTTTTACAAATCTTTGTAGGGATTTTCTTTATAAAACCTGAAAAATAATTAAGAAAAAATATGTTTACATAAAAAAAGAAAAGTGGGTTGTCGATTTTTTGAGAATATGTTGGATAGTCTATTTTTAAATATTTTATAACTTTTCTAAGAAAGTGTATGTTGCAAACGAGATGTCAGTCAGAAAATCACAGCTCAGTCATGGCCACTGAAATCCATTGCTAAAGTGGAAATGGAAGACAGACACTAGTTGATGTCAAAATTGGAGGGGGGGGGAGAGAGAGAGAAAGACGAAGATGAAACCAATAAGTTTAAGAAATTCATTTCTGTAAGGCCTCATACAATTTACATGTAAAAGATTCTAAACAACTTGTAAGCTTGTTTTATAAATATGAAAAAGTAAATGCTATCACATGCCTACCATACAATTTAGAAATAAAGAAAAAAACAATTCTCCAAAAACACCATTCTATGAAATGACTGGCCTGTCTAAGCTTACCATCACACAGCGATTCTCCCGGATTAATAATTGCATCATCTTCAGTGCTTCATCATTGTAAATACATTTAAATTGAACAAAAAATCCTTTATAACATTAACTGTCACTGATTATTTTTAATATTTTATTTATATTTTGTAATCTAAACCAGTTGTATGAATAAACCACAAATTGCCAAGATGACTGAATCACGTCAATATAGTGAATCAACCTCAAAAGTCAAAAGATGGGCCTCCTGCTCCTCTCAAAAAAAAAAAAAAAAAAAAAAGACTACAGTATCTAAAATTTGTGCTAAAGCCAGAGTAGAGAAATTTCCTGATGACTTTTAGTTTTATACAGAAGAAAATGTTATTTTTCAAATTCTGTCTCCATAGGGTTAATTCCCAAATTAAGAAATTAGTGATTTTAAATTTGAGCAGTATTTCAACTTGGGATAAGTTGTTTTATTTAAATTTTGAATTAATATTTCTAATTTGTTTTTTGATATTTTGTTACAAAGATCCACTTATTATGGTTTAATTACTGTTTTGTAAAATTTTAGTCAAAATGTTTGACTTTATTCAGATATTTATTATTGAGATTTAAGTTATTTTCTGTTGATATGTGATTTTTATATTATGAATCAATAATTATATATCAATCTAAATCCTTTTACTTAAAAAAAACAAAAACAATTTGAATGTGTTTTGAACATGTTCTTAAAGAAGGAAGCTCTGATTAAAACTTCTATCTCAAGGATATGCACTGTAACATTCCATTGTTTTATTGTCTAGTCATGTCACAAAATTTTTTTATTTTTACATATAATTTTTTATTGCACTTGGGTTTTAACATTTAAAAAAGATTTGTAGATATTTGCTATTCTTTATATGCAATAAAACTTTGAATTATATTTTTGTTTTCAGTTTTAATAATAATTATAGAATATTGTATTGCAATTTTCTCAAAAAATACTATAAAAATGAAAAAAATGAAATTTCCCAAAAGTAAAAACAGAAAAAAATGGCATTTACCAAAAGTGGAAATGGAATCAAGGAAAATTTGAAACGGAAAATTGGGGGCACTAAAAATATTTTACTCATAAGTGAACAGAAGGACTTTTTAATTTATATTCTCTTTTAAGAGCCATAAAGTTCAATTTTTAATCTAAAAAAAAAAAAAAAAAAAAAAAATAGAAAAATTTATATTTTTAAAATTCTTTTTATTTTTTATTTTTTTTTTGTTTTAGATCTGTCAGATCAGTTTCTGGTTATAGGCAAGACTAAAGTTCACAAATTCAAAATTTTGTTTCCAACATAAATGTCAAAGTTCATCTTTGTTTTGAAAACCAATTGACTTAACTATTCATTTGCTGATAAATATACCATTTCATCAAATCAAAGAGTGCCATTAGATTGGTACCTCTGATGGACTTCAGACTACTTTGCCTTTGCACCTTTTGTCAAAGTTGAAACAAAAATAAAAACAATTGTAATTAACCAATTTTTATCAAATACTTAAGTTTTTATTGCCATATTTTCCTTCCTTTCTTGACTTAGTTCATGATTGCATGTTATTGCTCTTATGGCTTTAGTCACCTGTTCTTTAAGACATACATGCTTAGTGAAAAAAAACTGACTCATCCAACTTCAGAAGTTATTATCATGTTCTTATATAATTGCATTATCTTAATTCTAATTTTTAGTGATAGGTTACATTTTTTGTCAATTACAAATACTTCAATTTTAATAGAATAA